TTTTAAAGTCAAATAACAGACGACAACGAATAGAGGTACACACGCCAATCATAAAATTACGAACAGCTTGATAATCTATTTTGATTAAATAAGGTGTATGAAGGAAATGGCAGGGTTAGGGTTTAATGTTTTTAATGAATTCTGTCGTTCTTGTCTTACTTTTACGGTCTCTCATTTCAAAAGAAAAATGATTTAATCTATTTTAATCACCTCGAGCAAGGTAATAAAGCCACGTAGACGCAAAGGGTTATTGAGTTTGTGATTAAAGATGGAGAACAATAAAAGAATAGTATCTGTCTATATTTCTGTGATGAGGTATTATGTACACTATTTACATTATTCGGACTATTGTCCTCATCTTTGTCGCCATATTTATTATAACGTTTCAGTCTTTCAGTATCTGTCTATATTTCTAAAATGAGGTATTATGTACACTATTTACATTATTCGGACTATTGTCCTTATTTTTGTCGCCATATTTATTACAACATTTCGGCCTTTCAGTATCTGTCTATATTTCTGAGATGGGGTATTATGTACACTATTTACATTATTCGGTCTATTATCCTCATCTTTGTCGCCATATTTATTACAGCGTTTCGGCCCTTGTACGCTCCGGCCTTCTTCAGGTGGTTGGAATGTCGAACTGAACCCTTTATTTCGCTCACTGAGGTAGACTGTTCTAGTTCCACGTGCCATGTCTAATGGATGTCAGTTATCAGTTATCTCCTGTTAATTCCCCTCTCCAAGTTCTGCACTGCCTTAACCGTGCACAGTGGATAAAGGTGTTGGGTGATTCAGTGACAGGACCCAAAGAATGTGAGTTCAATATCCGGTTAAGAAAGAGAAAAATGGAGCGAGAAAAATAAAAAAGAGGAATCAAGAAGAAAAAACACAAAGATTGACATTGCATTTAAATTTTTAAAGATCAAAGTTGACGGTAAAGCAAGAAGCCGGAACGGAATTCACTAAGCGAGAAATGCCAGAAAAGAAACCGTTACTTTCCTGATTACATCAATCTTAACCGTTTTAAGGTCGACCGACATCCTTCCTATATATTCTCTTTAAACTCTATACCTCCTGATCTTAAGTAAAAGAACCGCTGTCAGTAACCCTCTACATTGAGTGACTTATGAGCCTTGTATTTGATGAATAATTAGTAAAATACAAGTGCCCTTTTCACTATCTACGCCAGCCCATACGTGTTGGTAGATATTTTCAATCCCGAGTTGCCTTTGTTTTGGACTGGTTACCTTACCAAGGCTAGCGATCCCAGTCTACCCTACTATATCTAGGCAGAGACGATTAATTCTTTCCTTTTCTAAAGGCTTAAATGAAAAGTGAACGCCAGCTGGAATTTGAACTCTGCTTGCCGATTTCATTTTTTTTTTTTTTTTGCAACCGATGAACTTTGCTCCATCCTCACACCCACACTTCAATTCTTGTAGATCTTTACTCGGAAATGAAGTACCGACGAACGTTTGCAGAGCAGGAGCTAAGAAAATGAAATTTAATTTATATTTACCAGTCTATGCCCTCCAAGACACAGAGTTGTCCTGGGTATGACGATAGACTACATCCAGCAGCAAGGCCTATGATCAGGAGACTGAAAGTTTTCAGGAGCATGGAACGACCTCTTAATTGCTATTGTTCCCAGGTCGACACTGACGGGCTGTAGCACATTTTAGAGGCCCAACTATGGGAAAATAGTGGACCCCAGAAAAAAAACACTATGAAAATATAAAAATACATTTTTATATAAAAAGTACCAATAAAACATGTTTATAGTAAAAAAAATATGAACTATACCAATTTATAATAAAGTTACCAACAATACTTATTTATAATATATATTTAGTTGAAACCATAAAGCTGTGTTCAAAATATTTATATTTCAGCATTAAATAACCCATAGAGGTGTTGATATGCCGCTAAACAAAATCACCGATTAACTATGATACAGAGAAGGAAACATAGGTATTGAATTCAATATTACTTTACATTTGACAGAACATCCTGTCTATGATTCCATGGCAAGTTGATGATCAGGATGGTTGGTACGGGAGTAATTACATCGAATGACTAAACCTGACTCCACCTGTCATGGTCTATCTTTACAGCAGCCAGACCCGACCAAAACTAGAGTCCTGAGTAGTATGGCTGACCTAACAGTCTACAGCGCTTGAATTGGAATCAAATTGCAATTAAGAAATGTTGTCTACTTCACACTAGTTCGTTAAGAAAAGCAAAAAGGTTTCTCCAGATTTGATCGGTAAAAAGGAATTCAAAACAGTGGAACTAGACTTCCGCTTTGTTTATATTTCCAAAAAACATCCGGGTTAATGCATAAAGAAAAAGAAGCTGTGGAGAACCACGCTCCCCTACGTGCATGGCATTTTTTTTTAGAAAAATGGAACAACACAAGATACAAAATATTACTGTATAAATCGTTTCGTAAGACGAACTCTTTAACCATTACTCTATAGGAAACATTCTATGTCTAAACTACGATTTGGTTAAATCAAGTCTGCAAAAGAGTTCCATTTTTTTGGCATTTTCTAAACCAACACATAATCAGTTTTAAGCGCGCATAAACACGTCAACAATACACTGACGCATATAAATGTAAATTGCTTTCTGATCAGTGTACATGTATCGATCATTGTGTAGGAACAGTAAATAATTTAAACGGAAATAATGTACACCTGTGCAGCAGCTTCTAACTAGACACGATTTCAGTCTTTGCACGTACACTGATGTATTGTCGGCAACTTATGGCCCCAGATTACCGATGTGAATTTCTATAACAAATGACTATATGTTCTATATGCGCGTACATCGTTTTGACGTCTGACGTTAGAGAGACTGAAACATAGCTTTCAATTTTCCAAACTGCAATTTTTTCGTTAATTTTGTTTTGTTTTTTTTTTTGTTTTTTTTTTCAATCTATTTTTCTTTTTGCCGTTTTTAATGTATGTTTCTTCGGATTTTTTTCTTTCCATTTGCCCGGAAACCAATTTCGGTTTGGCTTTTGTTGAAACTTTCCAAAATGGCGCACATTGATTTTGCCGCTCTCTTCAATTCGACGTCGGTTCATTTTTTTTTTTTTTTTTCGTCATTTTTATTTATTTCCTTTACTTTTTTTTCATTTTTTTTTTTGTTTGTAATTTGGTGGGTATTTTTAATTTTTTTTTTTTTTGCTTTTCCTTTCTTCTTTTTTATGTTCTCATTGTGCCAGCCCCCATCCAGCACCATAGCCTCATATACCGCCGCTAAACCTTCTTCCTACTGTCGTTATCCTAAATGCAATATCTCTGATTATATTCCGTTTCTTTCCGCCCTTCCTCGGCCCTTCACTTCATACAGATATCTTTTTGTGTTTACGCGCACACAGATTCAGAAATACACGCATATAGATATACAAGCAGAGACATACACGAAAACACACACACACAAGAAATAGACACATATCTGTAGACACAGGTACAAACATATGAACACAAACACAGAAACTCATAATAAAATACCTTTCATTTTTTTCTATCACTATCCCTATCTATGTATCTGTTTGTCTGTTTTAATAGATAGATAGATAGATAGATAGATAGATAGATAGATAGATAGATAGATAGATAGAACAGTTTATTTAGATAAATAGATCAATAAGGAAGAGAATCATATAGATAGATAGACAGCTAAGGAAGAGAATCAGATAGATAGATAGATAGATAGATAGATAGATAGATAGATAGATAGATAGATAAGGAAGGGGATCAGATAGATAGATAGATAGATAGATAGATAGATAGATAGATAGATAGATAGATAGATAGATAAGGAACGGGATCAGATAGATAGATAGATAGATACATAGATAGATAGATAGATAGATATGTCTGTCTGTTTATATATAAATATGACAGGTCAATATGTTTTAGTAAGTAAACACAATATAGATCACAGTCCGTTTAAATACATTATATCAAGATAAAGATATGAAAATATTCTGATAGATTGATAAACTGATATACATAAATGAATATATACGAATTTATGCATTTATTATCACTATAAGGTCTTTTTTACTGGATACACGTGTATCAGCTGCTATCCTGTTTTTTGTTTTTTGTTTTTTTTTTAAACAGTGAAATTATTAAGAACCGGTCTAACTTGAGAAGTGCTACCAAAGAAATGCAAATATTATACCTCAAACAGTAATCAAACCTGCATCCCTCTTTTTCAAAAAGGGAATCAGCTTTTTGAGCCAAGGTGTTCCAAAATCAGTTCCGCCATGTGGCCAGACTGAGTTTGGTCAATTTATAATTTATCTATTTAAGTAAAACATGTTTACCGTTGGCACTTGTAAGAATCTATCTCTGCTACCGTCAGTTTCCTACCCGAAACATAAACAACTGTAATTTTTGAAAAGGAGACCAATTTGGAGGGCGAATTGTAACCCCTGGCTGAAAGGGCAATGTTGGAATTACCTATTGAAGAAAACGCGTCTTTCTCGTTGGGACTTCTTTTGATCTAGATCAGTCAGCTTTACTTTCCTACCTGAAACGTAAACAACAACAATTTTTGAAAGGGACACCAATAGCATCTTGGTTTTGGATACTATTATACATCCTACAAAAAAGAGTAATATATATATATATATATATATATATATATATATATATATATATATATATATATATATATGATCAAAATTGATATCGATAGATGCTCGCCAAATCAATATATATATATATATATATATATATATATATGAGTAGTATGACAAACATATGTATATATCTATGTTCGCCAATTAAATATATCAATATGTCACAATAGATAGATAGATAGATAGATAGATAGATAGATAGATAGATAGATAGAAAGAATTTAATTCTAGATAGATAGATAGATAGATAGATAGATAGATAGATAGATAGATAGATAGAATTTAATTGTAGAAAGAAAGAAAGAAAGAAAGAAAGAAAGAAAGAAAGAATTTAATTGTAGATAGATAGATAGAAAGATAGATAGATAGATAGATAGATAGATAGATAGATAGATAGATAGAAAGAAAGAAAGAAAGGATTTAATTGTAGATAGATATGTAGATAGATAGAAAGAAAGAAAGAAAGAAAGAATTTAATTCTAGATAGATAGATAGATAGATAGATAGATAGATAGATAGATAGATAGAATTTAATTGTAGAAAGAAAGAAAGAAAGAAAGAAAGAATTTAATTGTAGATAGATAGATAGATAGATAGATAGATAGATAGATAGAAAGAAAGAAAGAAAGGATTTAATTGTATATAGATAGGTAGATAGATAGAAAGAAAGAAAGAAAGAAAGAAAGAAAGAAAGAAAGAATTTAATTATAGATAGATAGATAGATAGATAGATAGATAGATAGATAGATAGATTCCAAATAGATAGATATGCACATAATATGTACACATTATATTTACGAGAAAGGAACTAAATTTTTAGCCTGACAAATATTCTTTGAATTTTTTATCTGAAAATTTCACTGTCTGCCCTTTCTCTATTTTTAATATTCAACATTTAATTATGTGTATTCATAAACCAACATCATGCTCAAAATAAAATGGTAGCTGAGTGAAATGAATGTTTATGTCATGTAATTGCTTTTTGGGTTTTTTTTCTTTTTGTTTTGCATAATTAAGATACAAACTTATTGATTCACCTCCGTTATATATACATTTTTGTGTGTGTTTTTTCTCTGTGCGCTCGCACGTGATGCGTGTGTGTGTGTGTGTGTGTGTGTGTGTGTGTGTGTGTGTGCGCGCGCGCGGGCGCCCACGCTTTTGGTGTGTGTAGAGACAAACGAAGGTGTGCTAAAATTCTTTGTCCGAACCCCGTTCAAAAGTCATAATTCTGATATATGATTATTAAAATACTCATTTCAGGAAGTAGAGGACGAGAACTTTTCAGCACCCCATATATATATATATATATATATATATATATATATATAATTCGGTTTTACTCTTCGTATTCCTTGTTGCCTATTCGATTGAGAAAATCAATTCCCGCTTTGCTGTCTTCGCGCCTAGAATGTAGATAACGCAATGAATGACTTGTCAACTATTCAATGTAAATGGAGACGAAGGAAGTGATTTGCGCATGCGTGCTCGTTCTACTCTGGATCACATTCACCAGATTAGAGATCGAGTGATTTTTCTTTTTTTTTTTTTGCACACGGCACAAATGTCGTCCCTTGCACCACTTACAGACCTCGACACCGATTCGCAACCCAATATCCCGATTAGATATTATATACACGTGAATAAAATATATATATAGATATATATTTATTGGAGGAAACAAAATCTCAATATGTAAAAAAGTGGCATCGACATTCCTGTGACTATATGCAGACATACCATTCTGTCTACAAGCATATTCGAATTTTTTGAGCAAACAAATAAATAGACTGCTTGCCTCGATAGATATACATTCCGCTTATGTTTCTGGCCTAAGTTAATTGCTTTCAAATGACTATATAGATGAGGACAATAGTCTGAACAATGTAAATAGTGTAAATAGTTACAATACCTCATCTCAGAAATATAGACAGATCCTGAAGAAGGCCGGAGCATACAATGGCCGAAACATCGTGAATATGGCAATAAAGATGAGGACAATAGTCTGAACAATGTAAATAGTGTAAATAGTTACAATACCTCATCTCAGAAATATAGACAGATCCTGAAGAAGGCCGGAGCATACAATGGCCGAAACATCGTGAATATGGCAATAAAGATGAGGACAATAGTCTGAACAATGTAAATAGTGTAAATAGTTACAATACCTCATCTCAGAAATATAGACAGATCCTGAAGAAGGCCGGAGCATACAATGGCCGAAACATCGTGAATATGGCAATAAAGATGAGGACAATAGTCTGAACAATGTAAATAGTGTAAATAGTTACAATACCTCATCTCAGAAATATAGACAGATCCTGAAGAAGGCCGGAGCATACAACGACCGAAACTTCGTGGAATATTGCAATAAAGACGAGGACAATATTCCGGACAATGTAAATTATGTAAATAGTTATAATACTTCAACTCTGAAATATAGAGAGATCCTGAAGAAGACCAGAGCGTACAACGGCTGAAACGTCGTAAATGTGACAATAAAGATAAGGCCGGCACTCTGAACCATGTAAATAGTTTAAATATTAAGGACATAATTAAAATGTAAGTTTACTCAGCTTTTTATTGATCATGTAATCTGTTAATTGTCGTACGTCGTTTAAAAAACATAAGCATGGCCAACATCTTCTTCATCAAAAAAAAAAAAAAAAATTGACAGAACCATTTATATGTATATTTGTCAGAAGATCTACCTTGGACCAAGGTGTACATTTACAAGACTTCTTTCTGTCACACGCACACAAATAATATGGCCATCAACTTCATATCTATTTATTTAAGCAACGGAGGGAGAAACTGTGAGGATGGAGTTGAAGCAAGAAACCTCGAGAAAAATGAAAAGAAATAAGAGGGCAAAGAATAATGGAGAAGAAAGAAAGGGGGGAAATACATACCGTCTATACTCGTGTATAATGCTAATTTTAAGGGGGTCGCATCATAAATGACATATAAAATTAGCATATGTACTGCTGGCCCTGGTTACACTGTTGACCAAACTATATAGAGCATTTACTGTTGTCAAATTCGCTTCAAAATTAAGTCTTCAAATCTCGTGATAAGCAAGTATATATGGTAACTAAAAATTCCTTACAATCTATGGTAAAAAAATCGGGGATTAGTTTTTTATCTTTCTTTAGTATTAAACTCATCCCTCATTTCTTGACCATCGTAGATGAAATTCCAAAACACCCTTATGGGTAATCAAATAAAAGGATGATAGAAAGTGAGGGATCAGTTTTGTATTATTCTTTAATATTAAACTCATCTCCCATTTCTTGGCCACTGTATATGCTATCCATTTCTATAATCTAGACAGGATTCAAGTACCTTCCAAAAATATTCTCAGAGGCTGGTTTGTTATATATACCGTATATATCCGTGTATAATACGACGTTTGAAGACCTAATTTCGAAGCTAATTTTAAGGGGTTCGCATTATACATGAGATATAAAATAAGCGTAGGTACTGCTGGCCCTGGTTATGCCGTTGACCAAACTATATATCTATTTACTGAAGTCAAAATGTACATCTATATTTAAAGTAAACATGATTTTGATAAAACTGATGTTTTACTTAACTATATCCAATATGTTGTGGTAGGATCCACTTAATTTGCATAGTGGAGTACCGACCATATAAATATGGTTGGTACCGGGAAGAAAGGAGAGGAATCAAGAGATTCAATCTAGAGACTCTGCCCGACTGCGATGAAGTCAACACATTCTCCAGGAACGGTCTTCCCAGGAATATACAAAAGACTATATGTAAATATTGTGTACACTTTCTTGTTTCAATACATTTGTTCTAAGTACATTTTGTGTTGCATTATTATTCCATGCATTAGTCAAGTTTCAACACAATAATAACACATGTAATATTTACATATTAATATCGTATTCTAAAATACAAACAGCAAATATGCATCTTTTTCATTGTTTACGTTTATAAGATGTTTAGCTCTTTCTCGTTCGGTTGTTTATGGCTGTACACGTTTACGCAACGAGTATAGCGTTACTAACGATACTTTTATCATTCTGTTTTACTTATTTAACTAGAAGATGGGATAAAGAGATACAGGAAAAGAGGTTAGTCTATTGCAAGGGTCATCAAACTACGGCCCGCGGACCGGATCCAGCCCCCCCGATGTCAGCAATTATGTTTTAACTTGCATAGACACGTTTAAACCGGTTTCAAAAGTGCCGTATATAAAAAAAAAAAGACTGACTTCAGCGATTTATATCATATATTTTGCCTGAACTTATCTAAAGTATGTAAAGTCAGCACATGTAACAAGGTTGACTGATGAACATTTGAAAGCATTTCTCTTGGTTGGATATAGAAATACCAAAACAAATCTTTATATCTTAAAAGGCAAACGCCAGTTTCACAAATCTCACTAACCTTTTGTGCTGCTTAGTTTGTGAGATTCGGATATGTACGTACTTGGTGTGATATAACTATTTTATTGCTATTGATGCTTCTTAGATAACACTAGCAGTAGAGCCCGGCATTGCCCGGGGATGTAACAGTAAGAGATAGATCAAGTATCGACCATCATAAAGACTGAAAAATAAAATTGACAAAGATTATTGTTTAAGGCTGACGGACACGCATGTCTTAATTAGTTTTTGTTTTGTTTTGTTTTTGTTTTTGTTTTTTGTTTGTTTGTTTTTTTTTTTACGAATTGGTCAAACCCAAACTCAGACAAAAGCATTGTTTTCAATCGTTATGAGTCTATCGATTGAATAGAATTTTATTATAAACAATTGTCTTGTAAATGGAATTTTAAAGCATTCTGAATGTAAAAATAAAAAAAAAAGTGTGCAAGACAATAAGAAACACTACCAAAAAAAAAAAAAAAGTGAAGTTTTGTTGAAATCGGTTGAAAAATGAAGGAAATCCGATCCCATATATAAACGAACACACACACACACTCACAAACAACCTGGGTTTTATAATAAGTTATCCCCCTTTCATTCTCGACAGCGATGCCTCTTAATTGTGTTTTCAAATTGATTTTCGTGCAAAAACAATTGCGTTTTTCTAATTTTTGGCGCTGTCAGAACCACCGCAAGGTAATTTTAAGTAGTCCTGTGAAGTTTTGTTGAAATCGGTTGAAAAATGTAGGAAATCCGATCCAATATATAAACGAACAGACACACACACACACACACACACACACACATACACACACACAACCTGGGTTTTATAATAAGTATGATTTTAGCAAATAAGTACGTTTGTTATCATTTTTTGTGCATTCAGTGTATTGTATTGAACAAAATGTTTATCCGGCCCGCGCACGTCATTTTCTAAGTTATCTGGCCTTCTGTGAAAAAAGTTTGTTGCCACCTGGTCTATTGTAATGTGGTCTCTCAAAAAAGGAGATACATAATAAAATCATTTTTTATAAATGAAAATTTGGGGGTCACACGATACGCAAGATCGCGTTTACACAAGTATATACGGTAGAAATTTGTTTGGTTTTCACTTTATTACCCCTTGACAATGTTTTACAGTGGGTGAAGCTTTATTTAATTATTTTTCTTACGGAGCGACGCATATACATTACAGAAGGTAGATACCACGGTAATGACATCAATAATGATATATAAATTTCTCAAGCTCGAAAGATTAGTTGCATACAAATTTAAAAAATGTATCTTTGTCTTTTTCTCAAAAACGTCATTGTGAGATGGCATAGTCACAGACGCTGATTGAGAATATCAAACGAGAGGAAGGCATGGAGAAGAATGATTGCCCATCTCCATAAATAACGTGGCACACACAGAG